CATCTTCAAAATATCTGAAAATTAAGATGCATGATTGGTAAAGTAAATGTTTATTTTAGCTTGGGATCAGAGAATCTTTCATTTAACAGGAATGTTTATTATGATTTATATTACTAGTAAGAGATTTAAAGTATACAAGTCAAATCAGAGATCTCTAGGCTTTGCTTATGGACCTAATTAAGTATTACTTAACACATGCAAAATTCCAATATTGCCAAAAAAAGTCACTGCAGATTCTTCATTTCAATAGTGCCTGTTCAAATCACATTTCCAGTTCTGTAAAAAGGGATGCATTTTTAGCACAAATTTAGTATATCACTGCTGAATGGATATGGTAAGTACTAGAGTGTATGCTATGGAAAAAATTCCTTTCATATTAAATATTAAAAACCTAGTTTATTCTTTACAATCCTTTAAAATTTTTGAAAGATACTCATAAGGCTAGGGACTGCCATCAGAAGTTGTGGGCTATTTTCTGAGGACCAATAGAAAACTTCTAGAATTAAAAATAAATGCTCAATACAAAATCATTCATCAAACTACTTAAGTATTTAGAAAAAACAACCTCAAAGTCTAGAGAAAGTACCACTTTGCCACTAACAAAAAGCTCAGAAAAGGTATCTATACATAGCTTTTTACAAACTAAAACAAAGCAAAACATTGTTTAGACCGACAGTCCCCAACCTTTTTGGCACCAGGACTGGTGCTCCTATGAGAATCCAATGCCTGATGATCTGTGGAGCTAAGTCGGTGATGCTACAAGTGCTGCAAATACAGATGAAGCTTCGCTCACCAGCTGGCTCAACTCCTACTATGCGGTACCGGTCCACAGCCCAGAGGCTGGGGATCCCTAGTTTACACCTTACCTCAAAATAGCAATACAACCAAATATCTAATAAATTTAAATATAGTACAATTATATGTAATTATAAATAAGTTTAAATAACAGCTACAGCTTAAAATTTTAAAGCATTTCAAATCTTCTTAGGAATTAATACAAAAACTCTAACCATGTGCCAGATATACACGCACACACGTATCTATTCATTTACATAGGTTTCATTTAACTAATGAAAAAGTATCCCTGAACTGGTAAACTATTCTCTAGAATAATGATCCTTGACTTTGCTGAATCTTAAACACCTACTTCTGTGTTCAATTTCTGAATAACATACCAGCTTTTAAAAATGCTGCTGTGTACTTTAAGAACTCCGATCTTGATAAATTTAATTAAAAAAAAAAAAAAATCTCAAGCAGTGTCACAACCAGGTTGGAATTAACAGCAATAAGAGATTTCTTTGGCTCCATCAGAGACAAATTATAATCTAAAGGAATTAGAATGCAAACCTTCAAACCCCAACTTTTTATAGTAACCACCTTATTCGACAATCGAGTTAAAAAAGATAATTAGTAAAAATGTTTCCTGAGAACTGAAGGCAAAACTCTGAGATTTTTCTACCACTCTAAGATATAACATAGTTTTAAGGAATTGGGTGTGGAGGCAAACTGTCTCTACCAGTTCTGACAACTGCCTGTGTTTACAAAACAACTTATATGGTGTCAGTAAATACTTCAGTAAAGACCATCAAAAACCACATGAATTGTTTAAAACTCTTCAGCCATTTTAGGTTTCAATGGCCTCAAATCCTTTTTGGAAAAAGTAAAGGTATAAGCAAGTATTATATTCCTTACAAATGAGTAAACTTGATGATTTAACTTATTAGCAACAATACAATTCAGTGAGATAATCGATTTAAGAGGTCATATTATTATTCAGGAAACAAAGGGTCTCTGCCTCTATTTCTGTTGATGGAATGAATATCTTAAAGCCCAACTTTTGCTAAAATACCAGAATTACCACTTACGCATTTTCTTCATCAAAATTGGCCCGTTTAGATCCAATTTTGTAGAAAGAAGGGAGCTGTGGTGGAGCCGACTTTCCAAATCCAGAAGAAGAGCTGGTCGCCCCAAAGGCACTGTGGGACTGTTGTGGGAGTTTGGGTTCCTCCTTCTTTCCAGCACTAATGGCAAAACCTCCAAAGCCAAATCCCCTCTTAGTGCCAGGGCCACCTTTATTCCAGTTCATGGTGTCAATGACTGATCTGTTAGGAATAAAACATGTTAATAGAAATTTAACTTTACAGATTAAATAGCCTATTGATTTTGTCTCTTCCAACCTCTATCTACAATTTCATTTTAAACTTCTGCCTCTCAATTAAAACTTTAACTTTGTACTTCCGAAGCATAGTGTGCTAACCTCAATGAAATGGTCACATTTTCTAAAACACTGAAGAAATCGTTATGTATTTTACTGAGATCTCAATCTAACAGCAATGTAGCATAAAAGGATTTGATTACTAATTTGACATCTTTTAAGCTGCCAAAAATACTCATAAAAGACAACAAATATTTTGGAAGATCTGATGTGTTAGGCAACTAAAGATACTAAGATGAAAACACATAATCTCTTAATTTTTATCCTCAAGTTTACAGTATATCAGGAAAATAGACGTCCTCTCCTGCCAAAAAAGATAAAAGACAAAAACAACCCACAATTACAATATAATGCAATGCTTGCTGTAACAGAGATTGAGGTGCTATCAGCAACGCTGTCTCAAAATTAAAGGTTATCCTCTAGCAATGACATATGGAAGGTTCAAAGAAGCAAAAATTAAAAGATCAGTTATTTGTATAAATTATCTATGTAACTGTCTCTGAAGAGTACTTATGAACCAGGAATTTATTGAGCAAGTGACCACAAGAACAGTATTGGTGAGAAACCATGAATCATTGAAATGTTGCCTTATATATTTAGTTAGCTTACAGTTAAGGATTACAAAGAAATTTCCTGCGCATCAATCAACTCAGCTTAAAACAAGACCTTACAGTATCTTATTAGTCTTGGCTCCAAAAAACCTTTTTTGATGATGCAAGTTACCTAAGTTCTGTAGAAAAGCAGAAAACTCAAAAAGCAAAAAGGAACGAAATTTCAAACTATCTGAAATTGGAGGGCAGGGGAATTTCCTCTACCAGATCTGTAATTTTGTTGGTATCTTTTGCTATTTTTTGTACGCTTATTTATAAACACACACAAAATTTAGAAACAGAATTGAAACCACACTGTACCTTGTTTTAGTTACTGATTTCCTCACCTAATGACATACTATGAACATCTTTAAAAGTCAATAAATACATTTCTCTACTGTTTTATAACATTATGAAACATATCATGTAGTTATATCTTTGTGCAAACTTTTAATTATTTTCTTAAGGCAATTGCTTAGCCAAAAGGAATATGTATTTTAAGTTTTACCAGTTACATTTATGGAAAAGTGTCTATTACACATTCAGTTAAATAAGAAGGGCATAAAACAAGGTGGATGGTATAATTCAATGTAATTCAATGTAAAAGCATGTGGTACATATACAGAGATAGCTGGAGGGCTGTTAGTCAAAATACTAATAGGAGTTATTTTTTTTTCTTTTTTGTATTAAGGTTTAACATTAATAAAAAGAAATTAAAGCGCTTATAATGGACTCTGAAGCCAATGTGGAAGAGTTCTCGAAACTGCTTTTTACAATGACACTGTTGAGGGGACCAAAAATAACATGCTCTACTTTCCTGGTTCTGTGCCTCTCCTCCTATACATCCCTTATAGGTTTTGCTTGAACTGCTATTAGATAGCACTTAGTTCAGTCTGCTTAGTACTAAATTTGATTTATGCTATGTCCATCTTCACCTTTAGGCCACCCTTACTTCCAAGTAGGGACTGTCTTTACTCATTTTGGATGTTCCATGAAAGTTAACACATGGCTAAAATAAGTACTCGATAAGTACTAGTTTGCTTGAACTTAATTAAGACCATCTCATTTTCTTCAGGAATCCCTTAAAAGAGATTAAAATAATTCTAGTGAGATAAGATTTAGAAAGAATATTTACAAACAATATGTTGTTCATATTGTGGAACTAGGGAAAGTCGCACCCGACGGAGATGAGCATTTATTTTAGATGCTCAGCAAAAAACCCTCTTTTATGTTCTTCCAGATTCTGCGGCCACCAAACCTTCCTGATGCACATTTCTGACTCTGTCATTCCCTTCAATTCAATAGCTCTCCACAGTTACTCAATTAGGCTGGAATGAGACCCTCCACGACAGCAAGAAACTACTATTCTTATCTCCCAGGGTTTCTCGTATTCATCAGTTTCCCAAGAAAACCAAGCACTTTGGTGAACAGTTTTCCCTCTACCTGGATTCTCTCCCCACTAAATCTCTCACTATATATGCCTACCTACCAAAGTCCTATCCTTCAAAGCCCACCTAAATATCAACTCCTAGAACTATGACATGAATATGATTCCCCCAGGGAAGTGCAACTGCTTTCCTTAAACCCCTTTTATAGTCATAAAACCACCAACAGTTAATCATAACTATTTGTATTCTTCTTTTACCTCTCCAACTCCATGTTACAGATTTCATGGAAGAAGCAGGCTTCTCTGTTTTTTCTTTTGTTTTCCAGAGTATACATTCATTAATCATGTTTAGTCAATATACAGAAGACCCAAGGGGATTTACCTCTTGGCCAAGGAGAAAAACTAAAGATAGCATAAAGTTCTACATGGTATGGTTCTAGGCACTAAAATACTATGATCTGGGAGAAAATCATAATAGCATAATAAAGGAACACAAACTATGGAGCCAGGCTATGTTAAAATTCTAGCTTCACCACGCTTCTTTGGGCCTCAGTATCTTCATCAGTAAGATGGTGAGAATATCACTTACTTCATAGTTGGTGTGAAAAACTGAGTTAATATAAAAAATACACTTACAACAAAGAGTGGCACATAGTAAGTACACATTATGTATTAGTTGTCATGTTTATCATTATTATTTCTCCAGAAATCAATTTTTCCATTGGTAAATGGAGAATATCAAGCTATATTTCTCAGATCTCTTTCAACTCAGGGATTCCATATATAAGTGCTACATGACACTGAAGATGTCAGAGATCACTATGAGCTAATAAGTGGCGACAGGCTTCATAAGACAGCTAGAATCCAGGCGAGGCACAAAAAGATGAAAGCTGAGTAGAGAAGTGTGTGAAGGAAGAAGACATTCCAAGGAGGAAAGCTAGAAATAGCAAAGGTTAGAATAAGCATGGAACATAAGGAAGGTAAGTAAGCTGGCCAGAATTTATGTTTTGGACAATGGTGGAAAACAAGATATGACCCAAATGACTTTTAAAATAGTGGACTAAAAACAACCGATTATAAAACCACATTACTTTATCACTTGTTTTTGGAGTAAGAGAAAGAGTTGTAGTGGCACTTGATTAGTATCCATCTAACAATCTGTCTTGAGACGATCTCACATTATAAACAGGTCAGTTCTTTAAGGAGAATCTGTTAAAAAAAAAAACCTAGGAATTCCATCACATTCTTAAGCCAAATGTAAGTAAATACTGGATTATACTTACTTTAGAAACATCTCTTTCCTCTCTGTTAGACTAAAGAAACTAAGAGCTGATTATATGAATATCGATTTGATAAAAACTAAAATGTAAGCAACTGCACTCCTACATGAATTACACTAAATTATTACAATGTAAGTCAGGTCTTATCACCCCTCTGCTCAAAACCCTTAGATGGTTCCTATCTCAGACAGAGCAAAAGAGAAATCCTCACAAAGGCTTAAAAGGTCCTGGTTGTTCTGCCCCGACTCCCGACTCTTTTTTCTTCCCTGACCTTATTTCCTACTACTCCCTCTTTTGCTCACAGTGCTCCAAGTATACTGGTCTCCTAATTGTTCCTCTGACAGGCCAGCATTATCCTCTTCCAGGCATTTACACTTGCTGTTCCCTCTACCTAGAACATTCCTTTTCCTAGACACTGGCTCAGCTCCCTCCCTCACCTGCTTTTAGTCTACTTAAATATTGTTTGTCTGTAAATACTTCCCGGACTACCCTATTTCAAAATATAACAACTCCCCATCCCTCTTTCCAGCTTCATTTTTCTCAAAGGCACTAATAATTTTGTAACATACAGTATAATTTATATATTTGTTTGTTTACTCTCTTCCCTCCACTAGAAAGTTCGGTTCATGAGAGCAGAGATCACAGACCTAAAACAGTGCTAGGGAATAGGCATACAGTATTCCTTGAATAAATGAATTGCAGATTAGGCCATATAATGCCACTTCTAGATACAGGAAAAACTAAGCATACATTTTTTTCAATGCTGTGTCTTATAATTAATTTTTGTACAAAACACTTATTGCTCACTTCCTATGTGCCAGAACTGGACTTGGTTCTATAAAGTTACAGTGAATTAAAAATAATCTCTGCCCTTTAGGAGCTCCAGAGTGTATATGTGGGAGAGAATATGTATCTATCTGTATCGAAACATTATTACAAAAAACAACATCCAGGGAAGCCAGAGGAATTCGAACGACCGTCTCAATGAGGCGTAAACGGGGAAATACTTCGCTAAGATTTTAAGGAAGCTAGGATTTCCCCAAAACTCTCGACCAGTACGATGGTTTCTCCTTATGTTATTGGCACGTATGCTTGCAACTCCATATAAATTATTTACCCACATCAGACAGGCTGTTAAGTAGGCCGCAAAAAGTTTGTGACGATGGTGATGCTAATCACTGATCTACTCAAAGCTGCACCAAGATCACAGACTATGGCTTTTACTGTCTTTTGATCTGGCAACTTTTGCCTATAAGGGCCAATTGCTGCCGAATAGGGTCAGAATTCTCCCAGTGGCTATCCCGGCCTCTGAGATCGGCATCTTGCAAATTCCTTCCGTAGCCGAGCTGGTGGGCGCCGCCTCCGGAAAGCCGCCACCTGGGCCTCCTCAAGAGCAGTGGTATAAGTGGGAGCCATGGGCAGGCGACGCGGCTAGGAAGAATCCCTCAAGGCTTCAGCCCCACACTTTCACCCCTCCCCGGCCCCCTGGGCCTCCGGTGCCCAGAGGCTCCGCCGACTCTTTGTTAAGCGAGGCCGCGGTTTCCTGGCCCTCGCTAGGCCCCGCATTTGTCTCCAGTGCCCCAAAGGGATAGCGGTCCCGCGTCCCGACCTACCTCACACAAACCTGCTGCTGTAGCGGCAGCTCCTACTACCACCGACGCGGAGAGAATCCCACCGCCCAAAGTACGCGCGGTCCAGGCCGCGTCCCGCCGCGCTCCTGCCTCTCCGCCCCCTATCGCCGCCGCCGCCGCCGCCGCCGCCGCCGCCTCTCGACCCGTTGCTGACTGGGGGAGGGGAACGCAACCCTGACATGCGCAGTGCAAAGAGCGCGGGCCGAGGGGCGGGGCTTTGCGCTTGATTTCCGGGAAGCGCCGCGGGGTCCCGGCCTTAAAGCTCCAGAATTCCCCGCAGACCTCTCTGACACTTTGACAGGGCGCTGTGGCTGCATGTGGGTGTTTAAGGTCCGTTTAGGAAGCGGGCATGGGAGTGAGGAAAGAGTAGCAGTGACAGGGAGCCGCCAAAAATTCCGAGAAAAGGCCTTGGGTGGAAAACGCATACACATGAAATTGTCGATTCTCGTAATCTTTTGCAAATAAGAGTCGGGCAACATTTCTCCTCGTGTCTCTGGCCATGTGGTGTCATACAGCATGGCCACCTTTAGCTTCCGGAGCACCAGTTCAGTGTGATGACAACTTGACTGAATCCGAGCGGAGAGGGCTGGGAACTGCGTGAGGAGTTCCGGCCCAGGGGCCCGGATTGTATAATTCTCCCAGCCACCCCACCGAACCCCAGCTGGGCGGGGTTGGAGGAGGTCCCGCGCGGTTCCCCGAGGCTGCGTCCCGCTCGCTCTCCGCGCGCAGGCGCGGGCGGGCCGTAGGCGGTCTACGTAACGGATGGTGGAGCCTACGTCAAGGCTGGCGCGGCGTGACTGAGCTCCCTGATACAGCGGTGTCCTACAGGCATCCGGGGCAGTAAAACCGCGGTGACGGTGCAGGCGGCTGCCAGGCCGAGGCAAGCGAGGTAGAGGTGGCGGCCGCAGGAGCGCTGAGCCGGGTTTTAGCCCCTGGTACAGGTAGGAAGCGGGCCATGAAGTGTTAGTCGGTGGGGGGCCGGGCCAGGCCGAGTGGTCACTCTTGAGTTGCGCGTGGCCTCGCCCGGTCCCGTTTCCCACCCAACCCTCTAAGTCCGGCCTGTGGTGACAAGCGTCGGTCCCCGCGCCTTCTCACGTCTCCCGACTTTCTTAAAAGGAGCAAAGTTTGTCCACCCACCCCAAGGCCCATTTTCTGTTGGTCTTCAGGATTGGGGTGATTTTAATGGTTTGGGGGAACTTCCCCCACAGAGTTGTGAGCAAATGCCAACCAGAAGGGCAAAGTTAGAGAAAGTTTACAGTATGCAACAGGAAGAATGAACTGCAGACATAACAATAAATTGTTTCTCCATGGTGAGAACTAGACCAGGGTGGTTTAACAGAAGCAACAACCTCTGTGGCCAGTCTTCTCTGAAAATGTCTTAACAAAACGTGTTTTATCCAACATGTGTAAAGAGATAGGGAAATGTCTACCTGACTTCATAGTCTGGCCATTGTCAGAAAGGCCGAAGCTAAAATGGCAACAAGGAATGATTCCTCCACTTACTCTTTGGAATTTAAGTCCAGATCCAGTCTGTGAGACACTGCCAAGTGAGCTAGCCAAAGATAATCAAACCAGACTTCTTAATGCTTGCTTTCCTTCCCCCAGCAGTCTATTCAGGACTGGGTGGCCTGGCAGGGAGTTATGCATTTGAGAAATGAGCTGACAGGTGCAGCAGAGAGACTTGTGAGTGGGAAGGCAAAGGCACAAATGACTTGGATAATTTTAACATAAATAACCTTGAAGGAGCCCTGTTAAGTGCTGAGTTATCTTAGAAATGCTTCCATGGTGTGAACATTCTAATGGAAATTCAGTTTGAAATGATCAGACCTTTAGACAAGTAATTAATCAAATTGTGCCAATGTTAACCTTTATTTGCTTCTATTTGAAAAAAGTTTAGAATAGATCTGAAAAGGGAAATACTAAAAAATGAAGTTTTTAAATCTTAAAGGTTGTTCATAAGGCACAGGGGAAGGAAGAAATGGTAACTAATATTTATTGAGTCACATATTTCCTGTACTGCCCAATACAACCCAATGAGGCAAGTAGTGAATGGGTATCTCTTTTTTTTTAAGTGAGAAACAGGGAATTTTAAGTAAGTAGCCCAAGATTTTATGGCTGACATTTGGTAGAGCTGACATTTTAAACCAAATCTAACTCCACCAAAGTGCATGCTCTTTTCCATATTTCTTCCACTTTTGACTATAATAAAAGATTATCAAAGGAAGCTAGGGATGTTTGGAGACGCATTACAAACTTTTTTGAGATTGGTGTTGAGAAGGCAGCTATGTTTTCCCATAAAATGTTCCCTGATGCTAACCTCGAAGGGTAAATATTGGAAAAGATGCTATTGGTCTATCCTTTATGACATTTCTCGAATCACTTGTGCCTTCCAGAATTTATGAACTTTGTACAGTTCAAAGAATATTTCTTGAGCAGCCAGGAGTTGCAAGGTATTGGGCAATAACCTTTGGCATTGAACTGATTCCTTTAAGAACTTATGGTGTTATAAATATACGATAGAGAATATTCACTATCCCAGAGCACCTTGAAAGAGTGGTAGTTAACCTCCATTAGTACTCAACTCCCTGCATTCTGGCTTCCATCCTTACCACTTCTTGCAGTTGCCAAAAATGACTTCCTTACTAACATTTGGAAATTTTTGGTTTATATCTTACTTGAACTTTCTGCAGCAATTGAAACTGAGCTCTATTTCCTTCTTAGACATATGCTTCTCCTTTGATTCCCATGATGCCATTTTGACCAGTCTCTTTTTCTGTAACTATTCTGTCTTAGTTTCCCATTCCAATTTCCCCCATTATGCCCACCTCTTAGCTGTTACAATTTGTTTCAAGACTTTTTTGATGCTCTTTAAAGAAAAAAAAAATAGCCTTAACTCATAATACTCCCTGGAGATCTCATCCATTCTCACACCATCTCTTTTTCCAGCTTTGGCTTGTATCTTGAATGCCAGGCTTATATTTCTAACTACATCCTTTTCTCCCTCTATAAAATAGGTTATGATACCTTTTAGAGATATTGTGAAAATTAAGAGATAAATATTAATCATCTAACATACTGCTTAAAAACACTCCAAACTTTTCAACAGGTATTAAATTTAATTTATTGCTTTTCTCCCCAGTTTTTTCCTACTTTATTGTTCTTTATCTCAAGGATGACTTTGTCCAGCTATTAATCAAGCCAAAACTTAGAATCACCCCAGATCTTCCTTTCCCACATTCTCTTTATACAATCACTTTATGCTGACAAGTAGAATTCTTAAATATCAAATCTGTTTTCCTGTTCATTCTCAGTACCACTGCCAGTTCAATCCCATTTTATCTATTGTCTAATTATTTCGACCACTTATTCTTCCTGCCTCAGGTGTCCTCCAGTTCACCCTCTGTGTCAGCTGTCAGGGTTAAATTGCAAATCTGATAGCGTCACTCTCCTACTTGAAATCTTTACTTGATTCTAATTATCCGAACTTCTTAGCATGGTATTTAATAAGGATCATCATGATCTGATGACCTTTCTAGCCTCATTTCCCCCTCTTGGGTCTATACCAAACTCCCTAAAATACATTATTTCAGGCCTGTCTGCTATAGCTATTACTCAGTCTGCAGTATCTCTTCTTGAGTGCAGGAACCATGCTTTTATTTTATTTTTTAAAGAATGTTCTATTACAGAAGCACATCATAGGAAAATTAGAAAATATAAAGAAAAATAAAGGCAAAGTGCCTATAATCCTACTGAACAAAATAACTTATTTATATGTAGATGTATGTATATCCTTCTAAACTTTTAGTTTGTAGTATTTGCTTCTAAAACAACATGGATTCTAACTTCATTTATAACAATTTTTAATGGACAAAAAGTAAATTTGTTTTTTGGATGCACCCATAGTTTAGCCAGTTTCAATTTTTTTTTTCACTATTGTAAGTGATATCATAATATATCCTTGAAGCTGAATACTTTTGCAAATTTATCATTATTTAGGAGTTAAGTTTTACTTCTCTTGGCTCCGTATCTGACATGGTGATATGCTCAGTGAAGATACATTTGATTAGATATGGTAGGATCATTTCATGAAAGCAGTGAAAGCTAGAGTTTTTATATTCTGCAGGAATTGATGGGCCTTGATGGTTATTGAATCCTTATGTAACAAAAGTCGTGTTTTAGGAAGATAGTTGTGGTTCTTAGGGAGGAAAAGTAGGGAGAATTGAGACAGGGGAGACCATTTGGGATAATATTGTGGTTCTTCAGCCGGTGGTGATAACTTGGACTACATGATAGCTTTAAGAATCAAAGAAGGAAACACCAGGATGACAGCTGATTAGATTTCAAAGGGAAAAGAAAGTGAGAAGTTAGATATCTTGTTTTTTCAACAAGTAAGACTGGAGAAATGGGATTGATAGTTATATAGAAATAGTGAAATTCAAGTACCTGTTTATTTTGAGACAATCGTAGGGCAGGAATCAGCAGAATACAGTCTGAGGGTGAACTATTTTAGTACAGCCTGTGAAATAAGAGTGGTTTTTCCAATTTTAAATAGTGGTTTTAAAAAAATAATGTGCGACAGACACTCTATATGGCCCACAAAACCTAAAATACTTACTCTCTGACTCTCTACAGAAAGTTTACAGGGTTATGAAAATGGACGTGTCTGTTAGATGATGGTATAGGGTCGGTGTTTCAATAAGAGAGAACTAGAAATATAGCCTAAATAGATATGATGGTTGAAATCTGACTACTCTTCAAGATATAGCTTAAATGTACTCTTTTTTGTAAAGCCTCACCTGTTTGTAAGATGATTTTATTGTCCTCTGTGTTTTCATATCATTTGGGACATTTTTGTCACAGATCTGATTTCATTATATTTATTGGTTCAAAAACTTGTTTAGATGGTGGAATATCTACTGTTCTTTTCGGAAAGCTATGAAATACTGATATATTCAATTCCATCATGTACACTAGGAACATTTTTGTTAGCAAAAAAAATTACTTTTAGTAATATAAAATCACAGCCACCGGTTTGCATTTGAGAAGTGGCCTGATAAGTGGTTCCTAGCAGGGATTCTGGAGGCAAAACTGGAATCAAATCATAGCTCTGTGTTCCATGGTAGTTGTATTACTTAACTCTCTGGGCCTTATTTCTTTATCTGTGAAATGGGGATGTTAATGCTACTTTCCTCAAAGGATTGTTATGAGGAGTAAATTAGTTGGTTTTTGTAAAACTTTTAGGACAGTGCCTAAGGCTTTGTGTCTTAAACATTTGCTTTTATCACCATGATGTTCACACACGAACACACAAAGTTGATCTAAGCATGAATGATTTTTCTATTCATGTATTATTTTTGTTACCACTAATAGCTAAGTAGTTGCATCTCATTCTTATTTTATTATACCCCTTCCTCGCTTCCTATATAAAGCTTTTTATAGGCTCTCAAAAAATGCTTAACTGAATATGCAGTAAGTGGAAACCAAACAAAAGAAATTAAATTTCTTGTCCAAGACTTTACAGATAACTAGTGACAGAGTCCAGACTAGAACCCAGGCCTCTTTACCCTCACCTCATTTTTTTTAATACATGTATATATTTATGTATATGCATACGTATATGTGTGTGTGTGTGTGTGTGTGTGTGTGTAATGCTATTTGAAATGAATAGTACTAAATAAAAGTAGGAGAGAGTTGTAGATTTTTTTAAATTGTTTCCAAATTTGATTGGTATTTGTAGAAAAAATGGCAGTCCACTTAGGGTTGGTTTGTTTGTTTTTAACTCATTGTTAAGGTACAATGAAAGCCTTCCACACCTTCTGTGTTGTCCTTTTGGTGTTTGGGAAAATCTGTGAGGCCAAATTTGATGATTTCGAGGATGAGGAAGACATAGTAGAGTATGATGATAATGACTTTGCTGAATTTGAGGATGTCACAGAAGATTCGGTTACTGAATCTCCTCAACGGGTGATAACCACTGAAGATGATGAAGATGAGACCACTGTGGAATTGGAAGGGCAGGATGAAAACCAGGAAGGAGATTTTGAAGATGCAGATAACCAGGTGAGGTTCTTTTTTTTATTGATTTTTTGGAAAATTGTAAGGATGAGAAAATTTGTACCTAGTACTTTTCCCATACCTTAAAAGTAAGTCTCCCCAGGTCTAGGGAGACTTTTACTCTCTGGTATCTTTATTTTTGTTTAGTAGGTGGAGCTCTTCTAATTGTTTTGTGGTATGTTCCCACCTATTACATTGATTGGAGAATGAATTGTATTTTTCTCCTCTATAGAAAGGCTGGGTGGGGGAAGGAGTGGAAAATTGATTCTGTGTGGGGGTAGGAATTATATCATTTAAAACTCAGGGTTCAAAAGCATGGAGAGTCATCATTTGTTAAAAACATGTAATATTTCTCTGTGTTGTATGCTCAACTGCCTAAATGTTCTGTTTTCCTCTAAAACTGTTGCCTACAAAAATGAGACAAAATTGCTGGCAACATTTCTAGGGGAAACAGATTGTGCCTCATTTTTGTAGGAGGGAGATACTGAGAGTGAGCCATATGATGATGAAGAATTTGAAGGTTATGAAGACAAACCAGATACTTCTTCTAGCAAAAATAAAGACCCAATAACAATTGTTGATGTAGGTATACAGGATTCTGAATTCTAAAGTAACCAACAAAATATCTTGCTGTCATTAATCCCAGAAATATAATTAGTGACATATAGTTGGTGTTGATATAATAATAGGATCTGTGAAAGTTTGATACCAATTCTTCTGATAAAACTCCACACCTAGAGAAGTAACTATGTTTTTATCCTAGTCCTCATAGTTTTATTTATCAAGGAATGATGAAGAGGCTAGGCATTGGATTTACTTGGGGTGAGACTCAGAATCAAGTTTAATACAAAAGGCTTTACAGCTTTTTATCCTATTTGATTTTCCTCACATTCTCTTAAAGAGTCTTTTACAAAGCCAACCCAGAAAACCAAAATGGGTATATTTTTCAAAGTATTACCATATTCAGTGACAGTTATAACTTCTGTTTATGGGTTTTCTCATTCTCCTTCATCTTATGAGTTAGACTCCATCCTTTAGCCTCAGCCAATATTAAATTGAAGGATTTTTCTTCTTTAGGTTCCTGCACACCTCCAGAACAGTTGGGAGAGTTATTATCTAGAAATTTTGATGGTAACTGGTCTGCTGGCCTACATCATGAATTATATCATTGGGAAGAATAAAAACAGTCGCCTTGCTCAAGCCTGGTTTAACACTCACAGAGAGCTTTTGGAGAGCAACTTTACCTTAGTGGGTAAGTTAGGTTAATAGAAGTTCAGCTGCTTGCTTGAAAACCGTCTGGTAAGAACTTTTTCTTCTCCTCAGCATAGGTTTCTAACTGCTGAAGAGGATGCTTTTTTATTTTCTCTCACAGATTCCACTTTTCATGTTTTATAGGCTGTATAAATTTCACTTATGAAATAATTTTCTCATCTATCATTAACCAACAGTAACTAAAACAACTTATGAATAGAATGAGATAATAATCAGTGTTATCAAAACAAGTTGCTAAGTCTGGCCGATAGCAAGGAATTTTGACATTTTAAATAGTTTGGTAAATGTTTTCAGTTCATCTTTTAGAAATTAGAAATTCCTCAAAATTCCCCCAGGTTCTGGACACTTTAGTTGCAGATCCTGTGTAAGGAATAAAATGGACTCCCCCACATTCACCTCTTTGGCATTTAACACTCTAATAGTAAGCAAGTATCCATCTGCTCTGCTCTTTATCAGACTGTTTAAGCATCGTGCTAGCTACTTTGCATATATTGTTTATTTTTTAATCTTTGTAACAATACTGTCGATTGGCTATGATTTCTATTTTCCAAAGGAGGGAACTGAAATCCCGAAATGTTAAAACTAACTTATTCAATTGCAACCATGATATTAAAATCTAGTTTACAAGCTTCTAAAGTCCATGGGTTACAAGCTTCTAAAGTCCATGGGTTTGCTCTGAGGATGAAATACGTTACTACTCAGGAAGCATGTGAAGCAATGCCTCGAACACAGTAAGAACTAACTTATTCAATTGCAACCATGATATTAAAATCTAGTTTACAAGCTTCTAAAGTCCATGCTCTCTTTGCTCTCTCTGTATTTCAGAGTAATTTCTGACCTGGAAATTAGAAAAATAATAAGTAGCCTTTAATGCCTTCCATGTGTGTTTTCATTTGATATATCAGTCTGCTTCACCTTATGAGGTCGAACAATTTCTTTTGTACATTTAATGAACTAAGAGAGAAAATGATTGGAACTGGAGCTTTTTGGAAAGAGAGAAAATGATTGGAACTGTAGATCTAAAATACAGCTCTTAACACCACTTATCATTTTGCCGTGGAAAAGCAAACTTGGTTAAAGTTAACTTATGGGAGACACAATCAAAGAGTGTTAAATAGTTTGTTTTAATGGTATTTTTTATTCACCGCATAAGTGGTTTTTTTTTTTAACTTTTGGCAGAGACATTGAAATTGATTTTGCTCCATTTTATATCTACTCTTAAGAAATTAATACTCCAAGTTAATTGTCATTAACTAACAAGGACATGGAAGTAATGCTAAAGTCTATAATTTTTTTACGGAGACAATAAAGAGTTTTAAAAATGAAAGAAACAATGCCCATCTGTTGTAATCTGTGTCCAACAGAGAGTTGTGTAAGACAGCCAAGTCTTGCCACCCTAAGGCTATCATTATTATGGGGTCAGGGTGCAGGAGGGTGTGGCATTAGGCCCCAACATTTTCAGGGAATCACATTAAATGGTTTTACCCCTAGGAGATGATGGAACTAATAAAGAAGCCACAAGCACTGGGAAGCTGAACCAGGAGAATGAGCATATTTACAACCTGTGGTGTTCTGGTCGAGTGTGCTGTGAGGGGATGCTTATCCAGCTTAGAGTAAGTAGGGAATATCTGGTATAATGTATATATTTACCTTTTGTTTTTTCCAGCATGATTCCAAATCCTCTAAGTTCAATGTCTCATCCTTTCATGTTTGATTTAAAATGAGGTCTAAAAATCATCTTTCTACTAACTGGCAAATGTCAAGTATATTTGATGAAGTATCCGATTCCCCTCCAAGGTCTTTTCTTTATAGTAAGTAGAAGTTGCAACTGTTGTCTTGCTTTTTTCAGTTCCTCAAGAGACAGGACTTGCTGAATGTCCTGGCCCGGATGATGAGGCCAATGAGTGATCAAGTGGTATGTATTCTTCCTGCTTGTTTTCTCTATACAGATTGAGTTTTTTTTTTTCAATTACAGTTGACATTCAATATTATATTAGTTTCAGTTATACTGCATAGTGGTTAGACATTTATATAATTTATGAAGCAATCCCCCCAATAAGTCTAGTACACCTGGCACCGTACACGGTTATTACAATATTATTGACTATATTCCCTCTTCTGTACTTTATATGCCCATGACTATTTTCTTCGTACTTCTTAATCCCTTTGCCTTTTTCACTCAGCCCCCTCAAATTCCCTCCCATCTCTCAACCATCAGTTCGTTCTCTGTATCTATAAGTCCATTTCTGTTTTGTTTGTTCATTTATTTTGTTCTTTAGATTCTACATGTAAGTGAAATCATATGGTATTTGTTTTTCTCTGTCCGCTTATTTCACTTAGCATTATACCCTTTAGGTCCATCCATGTTGTTGCAAATGGTAAGATTTCATTTTTTTTTTCATGGCTGAGTAATATTCCATTGTATATATGTACCACATTTTCTTTATCTAATTATCTGTCTATTCATGGGCACTTAGGTTGCTTCCATATCTTGGCTATTATAAATAATGCTTCAGTGAACCATAGGGGTGCATATATCTTTTCGAATTAGTGTTTTGTATTTCTTTAGATAAATACCCAAAAGTGGAATTGCTAGATCACATTGTCAACCCCATACCCTTTCCCACCTTGACTTTTTAAGTAGGGTGCAATTACAGGTTAATGTCTTTGTATTAACTCAAAGCGAACTGACTAGGGGCCTTCTACATGACACAGTGTTGTCATGGGAATGATATCCCATCATATTCACACATTCAAGGGGAGGATGTATACAGCAGGGGGTGAGAATCCTGGGGGCTGTCTTAGAAATCTGCCCATCACAGAACCTAACAGGTGAGTTTTGTTGTTTTTTAAAGCAAATAAAAGTAACCATGAATGATGAAGACATGGACACATACGTGTTTGCTGTTGGCACTCGGAAAGCCTTGGTGCGACTGCAGAAGGAAATGCAGGATCTGGTATGTTGAGTTGTTTCCACTCAAATATAGAAACTGTGCCCATTTATTACATAGGCATTTAACTTCAGTGCATAGGATAATTGACCACTTTGAAATAGATCAGTACATAGTCTCTTGAGAGACAAAACGTCTTCGTGCGTAATAAAATGTCATCTCTTGCTTTCAATTATTTCTTCCTCTAGAGTGAGTTCTGTAGTGACAAACCTAAGTCTGGAGCAAAGTATGGACTGCCAGACTCCTTGGCCATCCTGTCAGAGATGGGAGAAGTCACAGAGGGAATGATGGATACGAAGGTAAATGCAGTAGGAGACACACGTTTGCAGACCTTGGCCTTTATGGGCACTCTCCCTCAGAGCCACACTGTACATACAAGTTCTTCATTTTATGACAATGCACTGGTTTTTTATTCCACACAAACATTGAAATTCCTCTTTAAGCAATAGATTAACTTGTCAAAAGGACGATTTGATTAGTTAAGAAGGTCTTCTCTAAGTCAAGAGCAAATTGTGCCTAGGATTTGCTAATGGCTCTTGGGTTTTTTGGAAAAGGACTACAACTTTAATCCTTATCACCTTGTCATTTAGTCCATTTAAGTATCAGTGTAAGAGAAGAGGGATGTATAGAGAGCCATTTTTTTCTATTGGTTGTGTGATGCTAGTAGCTCATCTTAGTATCACAAAAATATAGGATAGCTCAAAGACCATTCTACATGTAAGTTCATGGTGATGTGTTTATGAAGAATCCCCTGTAATTATTTTAGATTTTTTCTTCATGTTTTCATTCTTGTTTAGAACATGATTTTGAGACACATTTTGGAGAATTGAATCATTGGTGTTACTAAAGAAAAGGTACTAGTTTCATTGTAGAGAAATTCCTTATCTTATTTAATTTTTTAAAAAAGTTTTAGCCTTGATGATAGTGTGCAAAAGTAAAGAAGATTATGAAAAAAAGGAAATGTATCAAATCCTATTTTAAAAAAAAATAATTTTCTTTTCTTTATTTCAGATGGTTCACTTTCTTACACACTATGCTGACAAGATTGAATCCGTTCATTTTTCAGACCAGTTCTCTGGTCCAAAAATTATGCAAGAGTACGTATTAAATAAAAATATTGAAAATGATTTTCTTCCTTAGCTTTCTGTATTGAAACACCTACAGGTGCTTCTGCAGTTTCCCTTAGCAAGTGAGTGAGGGAAGTTGGTGACTCCCAAGTGTTCTTTTGCTTTGATTGCGTGCATCGTGAAGGTAATTAAAAACCTACTGGAGACAAACAAGCCTTCCCAGTTTGCATGTGTCACCACATATGTGTACCACCCACTCGAGATGGAGGAGAACCTTACAAAATAGCTAACACTAAGAAAATATAATTGCTAATCTCTTTGTCCTTTGTAATCTAGGTTTCTTTTTTTCTTTTTAAATTTATGATATGAATCTCTGGTGTTTAACTTGTGTTTGATTGACTACAAATCTGTGTCCTCTATAAGTTATAGCCTTTTTACCTTTTTGAATAGTTGGATGATTATATTCTTTCCTAGTATACATCAGACCCTCAACGCCCATAGACTTTCTGGCTTTATAGTAATTTTATTTGAACATACATATTTAGGGCTTGGATTCGTTGTTTGAATTCATATTCTGTTTCAAGAGAGCATACTTAAGTTTACCCTTGGTGTAGAATTGGTTCTGCCTTAAATTTTTGATTAAGGGCTGTGCTCTCATAGTCCGTGGACTTGAGTACAGTTAAAAGCCAATCTGGATTTTAGCTGTGTGTCAAAATTACTGAGGCCCTTTTGCCTCTAGATGGTGTTGCACCATCCTTGCCTTACTCAATGCAATAACATTGTGGGCCAAGTACCTACCACATTATGGCAATCATGGAGCCTTTGGTGGGATGGGAGAGTTGATAGAGATTACAAGGGAATCTTTGGTAGTCGGAACTAAATGATACATGCTATAGTAGATTATTTCTAAATTTATTCTGAGTCTGACTCAAAAATAAGATGTTTCATTGTAGAAAGGAAGATAGGAGTTGGAAATGTAAAAGTCCGTCAAAGTAAGCAAAAATGTTTATTAAAATATGGGCCTCGTACTGAAATATAGGCTCATTTCTGGCTCCCCAGGTGAGATGGAATATATCTTGCCTGGATGGGACATCACTGGAGGTGTTCAAGTATAGGTTAAAGATCATTGGGAATGTATTTATCAGATAGACGAGTGGACCAGATGACCTATAAAGGTCCTTCATGCTATGAGATTATATTTGACTTGGGAATACCAAGCCAAATACTGTGCAGGTATCTATTTGTCTAAGTGAATTGGGTTTCTTATGTGTGTGGAGAATGTCTTTCTTGTGGTCTTTCTAAATAGTCTTTTCTTTTATGACAGAGAAGGTCAGCCTTTAAAGCTGCCTGACACTAAGAGGACACTACTGTTTACATTTAATGGTAAGTGTTCCATGTCCTGTCTGGGTTCTTCGTTTTCTCAGAGATGATTTTAAGGAGAGTGTTGTTCCCTCCTAAATGATAGCTATAAAAAAAACAGATTAAAACTAACCCCGTGCCTGCTTATTGCCTTTGGGTTTCTTCAATAAAAGATCCTTTTATACATTTTAATGTCTATTTTCTACTGCATTTTAGCTGCCTAAGAAACTTGGAGAAAGGAGCCTATTAATATTTCTAAAATGTTGGGTGACTCAGGAATATTAATGCTGCTGTTAATTCAATAATAAAATGGCTTTGTTTTCCAGTGCCTGGCTCAGGTAACACTTACCCAAAGGATATGGAGGCTTTGCTACCCCTGATGAACATGGTGATTTATTCTATTGATAAAGCCAAAAAGTTTCGACTCAACAGAGAAGTAAGACCCACAGCTTTTATTATAAGTTGACACCTTTTATTGTTTTTTCTTCCTGGGGGCGATCATCTATCAATGATTTCAGTGATTGTGTCTTTGCTAGTTGACCTGCAAGTGCTAAATGGGAGTAGTTTTATGAAAACACACTAAACGGATTTTGCTTCTGTTGCATTGAAATGGATTCCTCACGAAATGCTTTGTTTCTTGGGGAAAGGGCAAACAAAAAGCAGATAAGAACCGAGCTCGAGTGGAAGAGAACTTCTTGAAGCTGACGCATGTGCAGAGACAGGAAGCTGCGCAGTCTCGGCGTGAGGAGAAGAAGAGAGCAGAGAAGGAGCGGATCATGAATGAGGAAGATCCTGAGAAACAGCGCAGGCTGGAGGTGAGACAAACATTTGTTCCCGCGGGGGTGAAACTAAGATTTATAAGGAGGCCTCTTTGTACCATATTGGCTGTTAGGGAAATTCTGTGTGGGAAGGTACACAGGCTAAAAGTTTAGTATTTTCTCAGTACTTGGGGCATTTAGCTAGTTGATAGCACTATAAAGAAAAAATAATCCTTTCTGTTCAAACCATGCTAGATTGAGTCTGATCCTGGACAGTGATATGAATTATCCTTTTTCCCCAGCACATTCCCATTTTGAAAGTTCCACTATCTTTCAAGCCAAATACTTACTGAGGTAGAAAGAAATTAAAAATTTAAATAGAAGCCAGCACACATGCTCTGTGGTCCAAATAAATTTGTTTTATAAAATTTTTAATTTGATTCTAGAATTAGAGAATTCTAATGTTTATTTTGTTTGTATTTTTGGTTTCTATTTTGTACGTAACTAGAGTCTCAAACCCAAGAGCTTTTTAGGCTGTGGTATGTTAGTTTCACACATCTGCATGTCTCACATTTTTGTGACATAAGATGCCATAGACCAACTCTAAAATGTTAAGCCTTGTAAATGCCAGTCAAAAAGAGAACAAAGCTCTGGGAGATGTGAATTTTAATGAGAATAATTTCGAGAATTAAAGAAAATTCTTAGAAGTAGAGGAAGCATGCTGCCAAGTAAAAGTGAGCCATTGTGTGGCACTTAAGCTGCCAGGAGAGTCATTAATGTTGTGAGCAAAGCGCCTGGGGTACCACAGGCCTCCCATCTCATCCTTTCTTATCATTTTTGATTTGATTTGGTTTGGTTTAGTTGATGGGTATTTTCCCCCTGAAAATAGAGCTCTGCGTTTATGCAATCTTCTTTATAAATAAAAATGGCTTTTTAATGACTACACTGGAGGAATCTACATGGAATCATGAATAGATAATACCTTTCATTTTTCTATGAAGAAAGGTTCTCCAGTTCCTTCTAGAGTTTGAAACTACAATAGGTTTAATAAAAGGAGAGCCCAGAATTTAGGTCAGATTGTAAACTGCCTGTGGATATAAACCATGTGTTGTTTAACCACCACTTTGCAGTATCTAGGCCTGGGTACCTTGTAAAAAGATACAATGAATTAAATGGAAAAGGAACCCCTCACCGCCTCCCTCCCCCCACCAAAAAAATCACTCCACGTAGCTGTCCCAGAAGAGTGTAGCTTTTGACATATATGCTACTGTTGTTTACTCGCTACTGAGCCTTCACAGGAGACAGCAGCTGCCAAAGAGGGTGGGTTCATTCCTGCCTTTGTGAACCCAAACTCAGGATGCATTTTTCCATAAAAGTGGTGTTAACAATGATGGTTCAATTCTTCAAGATACTTACACGATAGCACAGCTGTGGATGGATAAACATTTGGACTTTTGCTACTAAAATTATGTATTTGACGCTTCTTTCTCTCCCATGTAACCTCTTAATTCCTAAATAAAAACCTAAAAATTTCCATTCGAATATTATGAATTGAAGTATTGTGCTTAGGTATAACATCTAGGCTACTAAGAAGAGATTTATAATTAATAACCTGATCAAACAAGGTCTTAAGGTTTTCAGAACGGAAGTACAAATCCTTGGCAGATATGTATAATTGTTATGATGAAAATTTGGCTAGTTCTTTCCTGGGTGTAGGAAAAATCAGATCAGACTAACAGAGCCTGCTTAAATGTAGTATTTAGTTTTGTTCTAACTTGAAATTTTAAGTTAGAACTGTGCTTCATTTCAAGTTAATTTTCATTAACCAACATAGATATTAGCAATTTTTATAACTATCTTTTGGAATGTTTTTTATGGTGCAAGCTTAGGTTTTTGAATAATATGGGCAGTGTTCTAGTTTTGATGTTTTTTTTTTTTTAACATATGCTTAAAACAGTTTGGATCCTCTCTCTCTCTCTCTAGGAAGCTGCCTTGAGGCGTGAACAAAAAAAATTGGAAAAGAAACAAATGAAAATGAAACAAATCAAAGTGAAAGCCATGTAAAGTCATCGCAGAGATCTGAGTCCTGACGTCACCTGTAAGCTCTGAATTCACAGGAAATGTAAAAAATAACAGTCCATTTTTCATCTTAAAGTTCAGGCAATCCTAGTGACTGAGAAATCCTTATTTCATCATCATTCTATTTTTGGTTTGGAGTTTTACAGGGGTTATAGATACATCGGAAGGACTCTGTTCCAGTAATTTTCTTCCAGATAATCAAATTATTTTGATTATTTTATGAAAGGAATGATGTATGAACTCTGTAGTTTTAAAATGTTTTTAAAATTATACATGAATCATCAGTGCTTTTAGCTGTGATATTTGAAGAAATATCATGACTTGATAGATAAGCAATTAGATTGTTGCTTTTCGTTTAGAATGGCAGTTCTGAATGGCAATTGAAGTGGCTATAAAGAATGCCTCTAAACCAAGATTCCACAAATAACTGTTGGAATTGCACAATAAACATTGCCTGGTGTTTTCTTCTGTGTCTACATTAAACTTGTAAAAAAGTAAAATTTAGAACACTATCTGTGGTATTGAAATTTCAGGGATTCAAAACAGTGTAATTCAGTGTATGTTTTATAGGTGGGGTAGGGGTACTGATGACAGTAATATAGGATCTCTGTAGGCTTTAGGATAGTTACTTTTACACGAAAAATTCTAGGGATAGGTAGTACAGGAGCACAGTTTTCTCCTTCCCTGATACCATAAGCTAATGACATTGTGAATGCTGTATTTTAAGTGGTTGTATGTTTTTCTTGAGTAACAAGTGCATGAAAAATTAACTACTTCACTTAGAGCAGATCAGTGGTCTACTTGAAGTCGCACATGTTTTCCCTCCTGGTTGCTGCAACCTATTGGATGGTCATGGAGAAGCTCTATTCTCTGTTACGGCTGTGTCCCCTTTGCTTCTTCTGCTTTTCTCTCTTCCACAGCTGAGGCTGGGTATATTCTTTCAAAGAAATAGCCATGAATATGCAGAAATATACTTTTAAAAATGAGCTTTCCTAAACTATTGAGAGTTTTTCTAACTCTTGGGTAAGAGGCCCATCTATCTGTACAAGCATTTAGCTTGTTCAGATCGCTGCATTTTATAAATGCTTCCTACTAAGAAAGCATTTTTTAAAGTCACTGCTTGTACCGGGTAATTTTTGCTGGGGATGAGAAAGGGTTGGGTTTTTTGGTGGGAGAGGGTGGGCGGGTATTCTTTTGTTGATGCTTTATGTGCGGGTGTGGCCTGAAGCAGTAACAAGTTGCCATGGAAGCAGTATGTGCTGCTGCCTTTGTAACTGCATGGAAACTTTTCACATGGGTTTTTCTCTAGGTTAATGCAGAAATGTATAAACTGGGAGATGCAGATGTAATATTTTTTTAACAGTTCATGAAATTAAGTTATTAAAATAACAAAAATAACATAAAATGTAATGCTATAATTCTAGAATTAGCTTTGTTTTACAAACCTTTAAAATACATTTTAGGAATCAAAATTGATATGCTAAGTTATCTTTTGATTAATGAAAGCTTTCTTAAAGTCCCACACATTTGGACCGTGGCAGCTAATTTTGTAATTTTAGCATTCTTACACACTACCTATGGACATATATTAAACTCATTGGCAAAAATCTCAGAGTGCCGCCTTTACTTTAATGGGGTTTC